ATTGGTCGCGAAAGCCTACGTGTTGAAGGTCTAAGTTTACTTACCACACCTTTAAACAGTTTAGGATAACTTACACCATCAAATAGCACAGGTCAATGGGTACCGCATTACATACATTTCATTTTCAGATTCTATAAATTAATATAGAATGTGCATATTTGTAGTTATATTTTACAAACAAGCCTTGACTTATTGTTGCATACTTAATATCAGGGACGCTGCCCCGGTGTAATAATTAGCAGACTGGACTTACAATCCAGAGGTTCGCAGATTGTTCTCTCAGTACTGCAGTTGAAACAATGGTGAAAGTTATTTTTCGAAAATTCTCCCACCTCTGTCCACTTAGCAATAGAAATTGACATGCCACGTTATATTTGTGTGGTGGGATGAAGCGTGGCTACTTCTATCTGGCCAGTGTGGAAGAGAGGGCTAAACTCCCTGCTAGAGGGCTTCTCTCGAGCCCGCTTGCGTGAACACCTCTCCGTCCGCAGTGGTGTGAGCAAGCAATTGCAGGTCTGCACCTCTATATTTCATTATTATGTAACATTGCAATGCAGTGGAGAAATGCACTTTGCAGGAAAACAAAACAAATAAGATTCACAATGACACATTTCGAGGTGCCGTTTTCCAATGTGTTATTTATTTCTAGAATATATATTAATGCACCCAAGACATGCATCGCAATGTGTTTTGGCCAATTACACCAATTAAGTGGATATCAGGCTGCATTGTTGTAAAACAAAGACGCGAAGAACGCACACGCGCACACTTTAATGCCATTTGTTGACGTAATTCGACTTTGGCGTGTGGGGTTGTGTGTGGGAGTAGAGGAGGATGTTGAGTAATGACCCTGTGAGTCTTTGGCCCAGCCGCCAGAATTTTAACGGGGAGAGAGTGTGATGAAAAAACAACGAGCCACAATGGGTCGTATGCAATCGTGGTGTGGGTGTCTGTGTGCGCGCACATATGCAACACGCGCATCAGTGTGTGCACGTATTTCATGAGCGCATTGTTTGTACATATTTCAGCATGTCCTCTTGTATTCTAGGGTGAATTCAGTGGGTGGGGGTGGTGTTTTCGCTATAGTAAGTTTTTGTTTCCAGTGATAAATGCTACTATCAGTCTGCTATTTTCCTTGCGTGTACTTTAGAAGATGGTGTTGGTCCTATTGAAACACCAGGCAGTCATGAACAGGGCCATTTTCCAATTGCCTAGTACGGTGGGGTGAACTGCGTACAGTGGACTTAGATGGAATCAATAATGTAAACATAAGCTTCATTGGGTACAATATATAATATATATATAGATTTCAATTGTGCAAACATATTTTATGAAAGCTGCAGTTAAGAGGTTTAAAGAAAGCAGATGATGTAAGGTTATGCTGATCGTTTTATAAACCATTAACAGTCTGATCCATTTCCACAGTGGATGAGATTTTAGAATTTTAGAACAGTCGACATTACTGCAGAATGCCTGATGAAACCATAAACTAGCTCCAATGGCCACCACAAAGACATTTGTGATCTTCATCCTACAAACAACTTGGACATTTTAGTTATATCCTCAAAACTCTCATCCCTCCGTCATTGCTGTATCCCCTTACCACAATGATCATCTGCTCTGCTCAATCCAGGCCGAATATTCTCTCCAGCGCTCCCTCCGCCACTGTCTGCAGACTAATCATCACCTTCATCCCACGTCATTATAGATGACCTGCTTCCATATTCAGATCAGTGCCTTATCATTGTCCCTCTCCCTATCTCCAATATATCCATCTCTAGATATTCATGATTTTGGAGTCTCACATTTATGGACGAGTTGATTTCAAATGGACTCTTTATGCATAGATCGTCAGTGATGGTTTATATTGATAGAAGGTCCCCGTGCATGGCTCCAAATTTTCTCTGGTAAATATTGGCAACCCGCCCCCTCCCCTGTTGGCATCGCCATTCTAAAAGAAATCACTCGCCTCCTCCATCAACACTCGCGAGACAACTTAATCATTGGAGGGGACTGGAATTTGTTCATTTCCCCATTATTTTAATCAAGATTCCAAGCCAAAAAAGAGCAATGGAATGTTTGCTCAGAGATCAATTAACACAATTCCCCAGCAAATTCAATTACATATCCCTTGAGAACACTTTATCCCAACGAGTATGGATTTCACACACACTTCTCCAGAGCCCACAGAACAGTTTCCAGAATGGGTATTTTCTGATCCCTTAAATCTGATGGAGAATCCTATTCAAACTAAAACAAATATCAATAATAATACAAATATCATCCACAGATTGCATTCAATTTCTTCCCGAATTCGGAATTTCTCCCGCTTCAATTGTGCCAATCGGATTTGCTGTTCACCGCAGAAGCCAGAGGTACTTGATCTCATTATGGAAGAAACCTAAAACATTTTTTGTGAGATCTCCCTGACTTCAAATTCCCTAGTTCCACAGAATATTGTTTGGGATACTCTCAAGCCCCCCCCCCCCACCCCCTGAGGGGGAGGTTTAAATCAATTGGGGTACAGTCAAAAAAAGAGAATGGGCAATGGACACGATGGCAACTGGACTCCAGGGAATACATGAGTGATGCAAAACACATCCGGTGAAGTAATGCTAAGAGAGGTCAGGAAAATTGCAACTTTGATTGGATCAATTGCTGACTTAAGGCTCCTTGGTGGCCACTGACTGGCAGAGGTCTTCTATGTTGGATCCAAAATTGTAGACTAAATGACCTTCTTGAGGAACCAGACTCGACAAATATTTGCGAAATCATCCAAAAAGAAATCTTCAGTTCCAGAAATATTAACAAAAACATGTACCCTTCGAAGAACTCTGACATAAAGCAAATTTGAGAAATGTGATGTAAGGCGAGCCACCGACCATCACCTTCCACTCGAATGAAGACATTCATGGAATTAGCCTTAATGTCTCTACATCGATTATCTCCTCATGGCAGTTACAGAGCCAGAGATGCCTAGATGTTAACGCCCTCACCTGGTATGCAGGAGGTCGTGGGTTCAATCCCAACCCTGAGACCTATATATTTGGAGTTTGCATGATCTCCCTGTGGTCATGTGGATATTTCTCTGGTTTTTCCTTCCACATTTATAAACATGCGTTTAGAGTATTTGGCTGCTATAAATTTCCACGTGATAAGCCACTTATTTCAGCTATCATTTATGGCCAGGTCGCTTCTGAAAACATTATATATAGCTCAGTGAGCCTTACCTAGTAAAATAATTAAACATAGTGTGAATAAATCAGAAAAAAAGACCTCTGACCCCTTTATCTCCTCAGCTTAACCCCAACTTACGACCCTTATTGTGGTGAATGTGGTGTAAAATATATTGGTTTCGAATTACTAAAAAACCTTTACAGATTTATAACAATATTTATCAGTCTTAATGGAAATCAAGAGGACTCCTTCTGCCTGGAACTCACTTCCACTTACATGAATTAGTCACATTAATCTCATAATGATGGATATTTTGCCGTAACTACTGTTGATTTCTCCGACGATCCCAGTTCAGATAACAGACTGCTTTTGTAGGCAGCTCAAGTCTAAGGTATCTTCTTTTTTAGGGTACCCTACGCTCCCACGGGGCAAAGTTATGATATTACCTAATTCTAAAGCTCGTCAGGACTGGCACTGCCAGATCTTCATACCGATTTTCATTACGTGAGAACTATACCCAATTGGGCTTAACGCTACTGAGAGTCAGGGTCTAATGTCGACTGGGTTTTTGGATTATTCCTCACTCACTGGCTTCCAAATACATGTTTGTTACCGGGAGGGAAACTGATGGGGGGATCTCCCTCATTAAACCGATTCTCCTGCATCTGGGCAAATCTGAGTGTCACCGACAGATTTTAGCCTCGCTAAACAAATTAATGCTATTTTACCAAATGTTATTAGTGAGAGCACTTCCTTTAAATAAAGGGGCCCTAGAAAACAAAACAAACTCCATTGTATCAAAACTCAATATGCAGTGTAGTGGAGAATAACGTGTATGGCTACATGATAATACAGGGCAGAAGCCAATTTATTTATTTAATTACACAGAATGCTGTACTACAGAGCAGAATGCATTATAAGAAAATATCCTTAATTTAACCAGCAGATGAAATACACCCATTGAGACAGAATCTGAATCTTTATTTATACTGGAGGAACCCGATGAACTAAAAAGCTCTTTTCACTGCAGTTTCACAGATGTACAGTAGTTTCACAGATGTCCAGGAGACACATGAAACATTGCTTATTTTTCAGGAGCAACCTGGATTACATCAAGATATGGGGCAGGTTCTATGACGCATCGTTTTGAAAACAACTTTGCTGGATAGCAAAAACCTACATTGTTTACTTTGCGTGTTTGTTCCTGTTATGCATAACATGATATTATTATAGTTACGCAAAGATGGAGACTGGCATCAGCCTGGCAAATCCAGCACCCATCACTAAACTGAGAATTGATCATTATTATTGGGGATGCTGCTACCATGGTGTAACCCCTTGCATACTGAACTTGCAATCCATTGCTCGCCGGTCAATCTCCCGGTGCGGCAGGCAAAACAAAAACCCCGCCTCTGTCCACCCAGCAGTGTCAATGGGCACACCACGGTAAGTGGACCGGCAGGTTGCCTGTGGTGGGGCAAAGCGTGGGTACTCACACCTCTTTCCAAGATGTCTGACTAGTGTGGAAGAGCAGGCCAGACACTCTCTAGAGTGGAAGGCCTCTAGTGGAGGGCCTTCCGTCAGCAATGGCATGAGCGAGTAATTGCAGATCATTCGATTATTTCAAGTCTGCATTGGCTTGGAAGTATTAAGCCAAAATACCCTCTAGACGTGCTCTCAAATCTTGCTGTAGCGGTGGGCTTTTTGCCAGCAGCAGCGTGAGCGAGCAAATTACCTTTTGCGACGATTCACGACGATTGGCTTTGGTGTGTGGGATGTCTTACAAAAATGTGGGGGGGGGGGGGATGACCGTAAATCCTCAGGTGGCACTGCCGATGAGCTGGACTCGGGGATGGACTCGAAGACGGACACCGACACGGACACGGCAGCGGGGGACGCGGGGGAGTCGAGCGCCTCGCCCCGAGGCAACGCCACTCTCGTGCTTCCCTCCCGCATCATGTGTGGGGTGAGTGTCGCGTCAACCCCCTGCTCCCCTCCGCACTGTCGACAAACATGCATGTGTGTATCCACAATACCTATCGTTGCCTGGATCAGCCATTTATATATAGACGTCGGCAGTCCGTCACGTGGTGGGTAAATGCTTGACTAAAAAAGGTGCTGACTCCACGGGAACTATCTGCAAATAATAATTGAGTGTTCGGTAGATTGATGGCGAGTAATTTAGTCCGTGTCGGCCAAGCGTTTCAATTTTATTCTTGGCTTCTTTCAAACACAGTGGCTTCGTAATGCCAAAATCTACATAATGTATAGCTATGCCTATTTTAAAGAAAATCTGTATTGTATAGTTAGCACAATATCTAGTCAAATAAAATGTCCGTGAAGAAATTGCCATCGGACCACTACAGTTTCACCTAAGACATTAATATCATCTTAATGGGATGGTTTTGATGCACAGATGTGCATTTAAGATTACAGGAGAACTCTTATTCTGTGGCCATGTTACCATTCCCAACTGCTATTATCTACAGCACCTAAAGGGTCCGTGAAAACGCTTATCATTTGTATCTCTATTCTTCCTATTATCCGTGACGATCTGCATGTTTTTTCCCCATCCGGTATTGCGGAACGAATTCCTGTTATTTTACGGACACTGACGCGGATAAAATTACGTGACCTCCTCCTTCTCATGAGCATTTGGTCATTTAACGAGAACACTCCTTGACCCATGGGGAAGGGGCGGCAGTATAGAAGTACAGTCCAATCATGGATTTATTTTTACACTGCCCCCTGCTTCCCATTATATAACCCACAGTTTAAAACACCAGTTGTGCATTGTGGCCACCCATCTAAGCACATTCCCAGCCTCAAACCTGCTTACCTTCCGATATATGACGATATCAGGCACATTTTGGGTGATTTGGCTATTAGGTTAAGTATAGTACAGTATTTAAATACTGTCGTGTTTTTTTCACTGAAGTTATTTATTTGGTCAGATATTTCTCAACATTGCCAATTTGTCCCGTGAGATGTGAATGGGTGGGTATTGCATGTACACCACCGAGCGTAGGTCAATTCGTCTTGCAGCTTTGCTGCAGAGTTTTCCAGCCTTGTCTTCCCCGAATGCATTCTGTGCAAGTGTATTTGTGTTGAATACGAACAAAACATTGTGCACCGTAAAATTATTACAGGAATCAGCATGGCAGCTGTTCTGTAAGAATATGGTGAAACAAAATCAACAATATGTAAAGAAAATGTGTTTATAACGAGCCTCAGCAATTTTATTTTTTTTAAAGCCGAATGTAATAATCTCTTATACTCTCAACAGCTACCTTTTGGGGGAAAGGAAGTCAAGTCGGCGGAGCTGATTGTTGCTGTTAAGATCCCACATCGCTCTAAATAGCATTGAGGATGCTGTTGGCGTGCTGATTAAACTATGCCAACAGTTGTAATGTAGGGTTCCATATTCACTTACATTATTAACAATGCTTGTGGCAATCTTTTCCGAGGTTTACCAAAACATCGATTTTACCAACATGTTGTTTGTTATGATGAAGAACGAGCAACTAGTATAACCTTAAAAACATATTGGTTTCATCGATGAGACCATTACGTATTCATTAAGAAGTATGCGACTGTGGTCATCCAGAACAGACCATACAACATATAACGCAATGCCCCCAATCCACAAATACGAAAGAGACAATACAGCGATACACTCCGCTGCTCTTGACACGGTTATCTGGGCTTGACCACCTGAATGTGACATTGTAGTCGTTACTCTGCATCTACATCAGCAGCCGTACGAAAGAAGAAGTGTCACACTCTACATTTACGAGCAAAAGACACATTTGAACAAGGGGCACAGTGTTGTACTCCAGGCAAAGAGCAATAGGGTTCAAATAAATCCACACTTTTCCTTTTTAGACCTTCCACACACACAGCACGAAGCAACGTGTGGCTCGATTCAATTTAAATAACCAAATTAGAGGATTTTTTTGTCATGCTAAATCAATACGCTTTTTTGTTAACCCAGTTTTTCAGACTGGACCCGGCAGTAAATTTGTGACCCGATTTCTTTAACGGCCACTTAGCCACAGAACATTAATTAATCAGAGACTGTCAGATGTGCATTTAGAGAAAAGCGAAAGGGGCAGCCGTTATTTATTTATTTAGCTGCACAACACCCACTTGACTTAAAGCTTTCGTTACTGCAGGAATTCATATTATTGGGTCTTTCGCTAAAGTCACGTAGAGAGGTTAAAAGAAAATAAAAAAATAACACCAAAAAGCTACGAAATCTCGATGGTAACACAAGTGATCACGATCGCTTGTGTTGTGATCGAAACGTCGTATTTTTGTGTAATTTTTTTGTTATTTTATTTGAACATATCTGCGTGACTTTACCGAAAGACCCAAGAATGCCACACCCACTGTTTAGCATTTCACTAGATCCTTGCTTAGCAACTCTTTCTCATTTGCTGCAATGAGTATAATCGTTCGTCCCAATCAGCAAAGAAGGCCCCTTTGCCTTTGTTTCAACTGTAGCCCATCAGCCGTTTAGATGGATGGACGATGGTAAGGTCACTTAAAATAAATTGCATTCGGTTGTGGCGAAGAGTCAGCGAAATTTTCGCCTCCCGCTGCCGTGAAACACTCCCCATCTGCATTTATGTTTTACGGTGGATAAGTGTGCCAAGGGCTGTCTCTCTTAGCATCAAGATAACTGCTGCCACAATTGATGATGAATGGCGAAACTTTTTTTGGGATAAAGTAGCTGATGGGGGTGGGTGGAATGAGTACAGATGTAAGAGTCACATAAACCCCCAAACGCGGTTTAGTTCAGTGGGTGGGATGCTGTAACACATTCCTGCGGAGGGAGCTGGTAGGAACGTTGGGTTGCTCGGTCAATTGCCAGGGTCAACGGCGGCGTGGTGTATTTTGCAAATATGCCCGACTGTGAGGGCGGGCACAAGCCGGCGTGAGTAGGTTAAACGTTGAGCTTTATAAGGGCACCACGGGGTGACCAGCCCCTCCCCACCCAGCCCCACCCCTCCCACCCCCACCCAGCCCCACCCTGCCCACCCAGCCCCTCCCCACCCTCCCCACCCAGCCCCTCCCCACCCTCCCCTCCCAGCCCCACCCAGCCCCACCCTCCCCACCCAGCCCCTCCTCACCCTCCCCACCCAGCCCCTCCCCACCCTCCCCTCCCCACCCAGCCCCACCCTCCCCACCCAGCCCCTCCCCACCAGCCCCTCCCTCCCCACCCAGTCCCTCCCTGCACGATGGACACAATAATCCCCTGTGGGCTGGTGTAACCAGGAGGTTCCTACCAGTATGAAGTTCCTGCTGTATTCGCTAACACAGCGGCCACACCTAACTACTGGCCGTTTAGTCACAGCAAGGGAATTAAGAGAAGTGACGTCTATTTTAATAACCGCGTTATTCTGCTCAATGGAGTACTGTACAAAGGCTTAACTTACGTTTTATTCAAATGAGAAATGCTTATACCTCCAGTAAGTCTCACGTAAAGTTTATAATGACACAATAAGCAGTGGTAAAAAAAAATCTCATACCCATAAAATTTTTTGCTATGTACAGACAGGAAATTCAGGCCCATAACTAAATTATTTGCTCATCCATCATCGTGGCACAAAATGTATCGTTCAGAATTTAGTTCCCACACGCTGACTGGCACACTTAGCACAGAAACGTCATTATAGTTTTGTATTTGTAAAGTGTGTGCTTATATATGCAATATAGTACTGTCCGTAGTTTTATTTTAAAATGGACTTGTGACAAAGATTGCATTTTCCCATCTATCTCTATTCATTCATTATTCCCAGTTATAGGTAAACAGTTGTACTTAGGTTTAGAATTATTTCACATCAAATAAGGGTATTCCTGCCCAAATTAGTGTCACTCTCGTTCCCTCTGGAGCCCTGAGCAAGTATGAGAAGCTCCACATTACTATGGCAGGACTCAGTCTACCCCATGGGACAACTACTCTTGCCAGTAAAGTGGTCCCTATTTTGTTTATCCCTGGAGGAACAAAGCCCTGAGTTCACCCTTGGCTGGAATTTGCATTTCCATCCTTGCAATGGCAAGTCGCACGCTTTACCCATATCCCATACAATGTTCCGCATAGAGTATACGACTTAATTCTACATGCACTGCGCAGCAGCGAGGACGAATGCGCAGAAGAAACTAGAACTTTGAAACTTTGATTAGCGCATCGTGTAAGAGCTCGTCGAGAGGAATAGATTGCCGTATTGTTCGCCTTCAACAGACATAAAATGACGTCGCAACTCAGTTTATGCGCGAGCCGGGGGCTTATGAGACCACGGTGTCCCGCCATAAGGTTCATTTATAGCACCAATATAATCTAAATAATCTCACCTACCAAGGCAGTGAGGTTAACAACCCGGGCTGGTGGTAGTGATGCCCTGAAAGCTACGGAGAAGTCCTGTAAAATGAACGCACCTATTTTTCAATGAGGGCCAACGTCTCTTCACAGGCATTTTTCTGGTAGATAAGTAACTCAAGTACTCGTTTTATTACCGTAGCAACCACTCTCCATACATACATTATGTAAACATGTTTCTACATGGTTTACGGTAGTTTGTTAAAGGCTTGTATTTATGGGAGTTGAGAAACAAAGGTTCATACTTCGATTTAAAGCTTTTGTGACTGCAGGGATTCATATTCTTGGTTCTTTCGGTAAAGTCACGTAGAAGGGAAAAAAAAATCATAAAAATATAAAACAATAAAATTCTCACGACATTTCGATTGCAACACAAGCAATCATCATCAGGTGTGAAAGCCACACACATTTTCTTGCTGTGGTTTTCACACCTGATGATGATTGCTTGTGTTGCAATCGAAACGTCGTGAGAATTTTATTGTTTTCTTTTTATTATTATAAAAAAAAAATTCTCTCTTCTACGTGACTTTACCAAAAGAACCAAGAATATAAAGGTTAATACTTTAGAGACTTTAAAAGGATTA